TCGTTAACCGATCATCCACTGTATTTAAATTATAAGTATACTATGTAGCCCGATAGTTTAATTAATGTTAACTCACTTAAAAATGCTTTTAAAAACAAAAACAAACTTACAAAACAAAAATTAGTGAAATTACTAAAAAAATTAAATAATCAAATTTAAATTTATCTTTTGTGCGATTATCTATAGTTATGTCGCAAAAAAAGAGTTGCAATTAATTTAAAAATTTCTAATTAAGGGTTCAAAAGTGCAGGAAAAATTAATTAAATAATAATACATACATAAAAATTATTTAAAATAATTATAAAAGCTAAAACTAAATTAATACTAAATAAATTAAGCCCTAAAATTAATTAAAACTAAAAATGATAGACTAATTAAGTTTAAAAATAATAAAATATTAAAAGCTGGCCTTTACACCGAAACTAAAAACAAAATTAAAAATAAAAACAAATCAATTGAAAATTAAAACCGTTTTTAAAAACCCTTTTAAAGTTCTTTTGAAATTTTCAAATTGTTAAAGAAATTAATTTTTAAATTGCGTTATTTGTGTGTGATGGTGACAAAACACCTTGCTTTTAATATCGTATACACACGGATAAAAATTATTAAAAATAATATAAAAACTAAAACTACATCTGTATATCTGTATTCTGTCTGTATGTAACCAAACGCTATTCAAAAATCAAACTTAAAGAATAGTTGCTACGGGTGCAAACGAATAGTAGTCTCTTCTATTCCAAGTATGAGTCAAAAGTGAAGTTTTGATTCCACTATTCTTATACAAAGATCTTCCTTTCGTTTGTTAATTTAACCCTTTCCATGAATTCATGCCGAGTCCATAGAGGAAATTAACGGGTGGTTCTTTCCAGGAAAGAATGGTAGACCACACAGCAACTCGGTGTAACCTACTTATACGTTGCTTCTTTGTAAAGTGTTATTGTGGGGAAGGAACGTTTTGCTTTTAATATATATATACAGATACATAGACAAGTGATAAATATTTTTTTTTTGTTCATAAAATCATAATTTTAGCTACAGCATTAATTTGAATTAATACGTTATAATCGTTTAAAATTTTTGATTTATCCTTCTGCAATAAAACTCTTTTGTGAAATCTTAAAACCTTTTATTTTATTTTTAGTCTGTAGAAATATTAACTTTATAAACTTTTTATTAAGTTATAGGCTATAATTAATTTCTAACTTTTGAAAAAATAATTTAATCTATATGTTCTTATTTATTTTGAATTTTGTTCTTTGATGTTTTAAATCCTTCTTTTTACAGAAAATTCTGTAATAAATTAAAGACAAAAATCTCACCAGCTAATTAATTGGTATACTACAAATAGGATAGTTATTGACAAACATAAATAAAAGAGCGTTTTAAAAATTCCTTGCAGTAAACAGCAATTATAAAGTGAACTTTTCAGTATATCTAATTACATTATATATTTTGCACTTTTTAAACATTGGCAACAATCGATAACAACAGTCTACACTACTAAAGAATGCAAAGTCTCGATAATTTATTATTGATATTTATCCTTACACTAATATACACTTTAAAATATAGTAAATAGAATAATTAATTAACTAATTTAGTAACTTGAAATAATTTACGATAAACTTTCATTCAGATTTTCAGAAAAACCTGCTATATGACCCAGAACATTAAAATTTTTTTGGAGGCAATATTAGACGTTTATCTTACTACTATTGAAAAAACTTTTCAAATAAGTGAATTAGGGGTCAGAAATGAAACTTTATATAATTTATTACTTTTAATAGATATAAAATCAATTATAAATGTGATTAAAAATAATGTAATCTAATAAAAGTTGTAAGCAAAATTAGTTTATCGATTTGACAATTACCATAGTGTTAAAATAACTTTCGACAGCTTTACAATTGGAAATCTTCTTTAAGAAAAAAATGTAAAGAGAATACAAAGTTTGATCACGCTCACATTATTATTTAATTAGAAAACTTTTCGTTTTATACTAATTTAATCCAATAAGAACGATTTAAATAAAATTGATTCCTAATCACAAATATCGAGTTTGCTTGTGTGGATATTTAAGACAGATATTTGCTACAGCTCTTATTTTAAGAATTTAATGAATAGATTTGTAAATCTCTTAACTGAAAGTGAAATATACACATTTTTTTTCAGCAAGTAGTTATAAAATGATAAATAGATATTATTTGAATTTATTGTATTTAAAAAAATAGTAAAATTGCATATTTGATCTCAATATGTAATCGATTTAAACCCCATTGTTTCCTAGGAATTATCACATCCACAAACTAAAAATACTAGCCAATCAACAACTTTATTTCACCCAGATGAATTTCGAAAATTATAATGTTTTCCTCCTCAGTGAGTTTTCTTTCATACAAGCTAAATAAGACACAAAACTTTTTCGTACTCTCGCAATTTTTTAATTTTTCCTACCGTTTTGACTACTTTCATATTAAAAGCATTTTTTTTTCTGTGTTCTTATCATTAACCATGTTTTATTATCCATAATCTTTGCCGTCATTACCTTCATTCGTTGCATTCCTTCTCATTTACCAACACTTCCACTGCAAAATTTAAAAATTGTGAGAAAGTATCGAAAAAGTGTATGTGCCTTGTTTAGCTTTTACGAAAGAAAACCCAACGAGGAGGGAAATATTATAATTTCTGAAATACATCTGGGTGAAATAAAGTTGTTGAATTGACTAGTATTTTGGAGTATTTGGATGTGATAATTCCTAGAAAATAACGGTGTTTAAACCGAATACATATTAAGTTTAAAAAAAAACAGAATAGAAGCATAAGAGGTAAATGCATATATAATACTTTGTAAGAGTATTTTTAAAGTGTATGTACTGTACCAGTATATACGTTATTATAAACTAACATATATTTTGGCAAAACTTTAAAATTTATTTTTAGTTTCAAAGTTATTTAATGTAGATTCTAAAATATGTCACATGTTACTGATACATTCTAATAATAAAATCCGTAATTTATTAAATCACTTTTACAAGTATAAAACTTTTAAAATATTTCACTTCAACTTAAACTATCTTATAATTTTTTTAGAAAAAGAATGCTTACAGAGAATAGTTATTTACAATAAAACTATGATAATGTGTTGGAGCAAAAGTCATAGCCAATTATTTTAAAATTTTACACTTGAGTAAATATTTGAATTAATTACACATCTCGAAACTAGAGTATAATATTAGTAACATTTTTTTGATTTAATACAAATTGCACAATAAAGTTTTAGAAATTTATCAATTTAATTCAAAAACTAGTAAAATCCATTTTNATTTAAAAAAATAGTAAAATTGCATATTTGATCTCAATATGTAATCGATTTAAACCCCATTGTTTCCTAGGAATTATCACATCCACAAACTAAAAATACTAGCCAATCAACAACTTTATTTCACCCAGATGAATTTCGAAAATTATAATGTTTTCCTCCTCAGTGAGTTTTCTTTCATACAAGCTAAATAAGACACAAAACTTTTTCGTACTCTCGCAATTTTTTAATTTTTCCTACCGTTTTGACTACTTTCATATTAAAAGCATTTTTTTTTCTGTGTTCTTATCATTAACCATGTTTTATTATCCATAATCTTTGCCGTCATTACCTTCATTCGTTGCATTCCTTCTCATTTACCAACACTTCCACTGCAAAATTTAAAAATTGTGAGAAAGTATCGAAAAAGTGTATGTGCCTTGTTTAGCTTTTACGAAAGAAAACCCAACGAGGAGGGAAATATTATAATTTCTGAAATACATCTGGGTGAAATAAAGTTGTTGAATTGACTAGTATTTTGGAGTATTTGGATGTGATAATTCCTAGAAAATAACGGTGTTTAAACCGAATACATATTAAGTTTAAAAAAAAACAGAATAGAAGCATAAGAGGTAAATGCATATATAATACTTTGTAAGAGTATTTTTAAAGTGTATGTACTGTACCGGTATATACGTTATTATAAACTAACATATATTTTGGCAAAACTTTAAAATTTATTTTTAGTTTCAAAGTTATTTAATGTAGATTCTAAAATATGTCACATGTTACTGATACATTCTAATAATAAAATCCGTAATTTATTAAATCACTTTTACAAGTATAAAACTTTTAAAATATTTCACTTCAACTTAAACTATCTTATAATTTTTTTAGAAAAAGAATGCTTACAGAGAATAGTTATTTACAATAAAACTATGATAATGTGTTGGAGCAAAAGTCATAGCCAATTATTTTAAAATTTTACACTTGAGTAAATATTTGAATTAATTACACATCTCGAAACTAGAGTATAATATTAGTAACATTTTTTTGACTTAATACAAATTGCACAATAAAGTTTTAGAAATTTATCAATTTAATTCAAAAACTAGTAAAATCCATTTTTCAAGAAATCAATTTTTTTACATTTTAATAGATGATATAAAACACATCTTTAATAAACAAGTTAACATATGCTATTGGAGAAATGGTTTAATAGTAGTTTTATTTCAATTAATTTATTTATTATCTAAGTTTTATTATTTTAATTATTAAATAAATGCCGTAAATACCAACTTTTGTAAAGATGTAAACCGTTTTTGTGTAAAAACCCAATAAATTAAAAGAAAGCTTAGTTTATAATGTTAAATATTTATTTGATTTTATATTTTTATTAATGTTATTAATATAAATTTTTTCAAAATAAATAGTTTTAATAAATAAATGCCAACTTTTATTGATAAATACGTTTTTCATAAAATATTTAAAACTTGTTTCTGAAATTAGATTTTTAAACATTATTTTTATGTACATGATTTTTGGACATTAATAATACATATTTTATATGAATTTTTCAAATATTTAATAGATTATAAAATTGAAAATAATTACATATTGATATTAATTAATATATTCATAGAATAAAAAATATATGTTATAGACATAAATTACAATCTTTATTTTATAAAATAAAATATACACAAAACACGAAAAGACACAACAACAAATTAAAAACTGATGCCTTCAACAATGAATATAATTATAAGTATGGATTTTAGCATGTAGTTGTGTTATGTGCACCACCTATTTGTCTAGAAGTCCTCCTATTTGTTGTTATGTGATTGTCCAATACACTAGACATCTGTGTAGACAAAGATAAACGAGATAATCCCAGCCTTCCTAATGGTTTTCTTGGAGTAATATGTCGAAGTTGATGTCTTTTGTAGGAACGTTTAAACAGATACATTACCTAAAATCAAAAAGAAAAAACTTTACGCTGAATCATTAGTTCAGTGCTTAAAATTCATTCTAAAATAAAAATTAAAATTAACTTTGAAGGGATATATTTCAAACAGAAAACGGAATGCATACAGTGGCACGAGACATTCTATAAACGGATGTAATAATGTAAATATTTTTATTACTAATTTTATAGTATTTAAAAGTAATTTTTCAGTTTTATTTATAGAACTTTCTAAAGTTTTTATCTCCAATTTCTTCTCGAACATTTTCTACTTTATTTTCTATACAATCACAACATAGTCTAGTGTATATGATTCTCTTTCTAAATTAAAAGAGGCCTATGACAAATATCTATTTCTTTCTCAAAGCTTTCACGAATATTGTAAAACGATCCGATAAACTTTCTCAAGTCTTTTCTCTTTTAAAAAATTGAGCCATATAAATGAATGTTTTCAGTTTTACTTCCATTAAATTAAAGTGTCAAATTTATAATAAAAAATATTTAAAAGTAATTCTTCCATTAAAAATATCTTCCATTAAAAATATTAAGAATTACTCCTATAAAATCTATTTAGGATTTATAAATAATTTATATTTAAATTATCTTGTTATAATAGCAATATAAAATTACATATTTTTAAAACACAATATGTATGTTATAATTGTGTATGTTATAATATGTATGTTATAACTGTGATTTTTATGGAAATAATTTAAAATAATTTTCATTTTGAAATTAATAAAAATGTAATTAAAATTTTTTTAATGTTTAAACTTTTAAAAATATTTATAGATTTTAAAAGAAATAATTATCCATTAAGGAAAAGTNAAATTAAATATTTTATTCTTTTAATAATTAACATGCTACATTTGAAATGTAATAAAATAAAATACAAGGACTTTTTCCATGAATAAAGTATAATTTAATGAACATAAAAACCTAAACTGCAATGATTTATATAAGTAATTACATATTGGAATGTTTTCAAACATTTCGTTGAGCTATAAAGAGATACTGAACCGGAAATTATACTGCTTACGTAGATAATAAGCAATATGAGATATAATTTCATATTGTAAAAGTAATTTGGTAACATGATAAATGATAATATTGTATTGCAAGCATAATTATATTACCGAACAATAAATTCTAGAAAATTTTACGAAATTTACCATTAGATTCCAGAGATTTTCGTTATAAAATTTTCGTTGTTTAAACTAAATTTTACTTTTTATATAAGATAATTCTCACTGTAGTGATAATTAAAAAGTCGAGTACAAGTTCCGGATATGAAAATGTGACAAGAAAAAACGACATAAAAATAAAAATGATAAGTTGATGGGCTAATTGGGAATCGTTTCCTTAAGGTGAATGATGTCAGTAATTGGTGTACAGTACCTATCCCTAAGAGTGTCATATATCAAAACAATCAACTATATTGGATTAGTTCACCTTTTATTGAAAGAAATTACCAAAAATTAAGTCTAATGTGCATCATTTATACAACTTTTTATGCTTGTACAGTACATAAAATGCAGCTTTGAAGTTAATAGATACTTTTATTCTTAAAGTTATAGTATTTGGTCTGTAAAAATATCTTTAAATCTTAATTTTTCTTAATTCAAAAATATTATATTTAATTGCAATGCTCTTATTACTATTCCAAAAGATGAATTTTTATTTTACTTTTGGAAAATTCAATTCATTCCTATAGCTATTAAGTGAAAACTTTTAAAATGTTATTTACAGGTGTTTTATATTATCTACACATCAATTCTTCAAGAAATTATTAATTATCACTATCATTAATAGAATTTAAAAGTTATCTAAAAAGAAATTAACTAAATTCATATATAAAATTAATACTACTTGAATTACTTATTGTTTAAATTTGTATGTACAGTACTTTATTAATTACTTAATTATGATTACATACTATTTTATTAATCATAAAATATATATTACAAATCGAAATGTATATATTATCTAAATATTAAATTGTATATTATAATTATCGGAAATTATAATGATGTAAATTATTAGTAATGTGTAATAAGATACTGTAATACCTGTCTATGGCGACCACTCACGGTTCCTTCAAAAAGTGGTCTTCTAGACAGGTAAAACTCGAGGTGAGCAAAAATAAGCGAATTTTTTCAACGATAGAGCTATATTGGTACTGTATTTTATTCTTATCGAATAACTCGATTAACAGAAGTCGTGGTGATTTTATAGGACAGATTTAATACCAGTATTTTAAAGATTAATACAGTATTCGCATTTTTCGATTATAATGCACACTTTCTTTATTCCGATTATAATGCACACTTTCTTTATTCCGATTTAATTAATTCAACTTTGTTCTCTTCGTTCGCTTATCAGTTACGTGTATTGCTTCATCGATATAGAAGCGCGACGTATCTCTCCACCACATCGGTTTTGGTTTTGGTTTGTTTAATCTTATTTTAACTTTAAAAATACTGTATTATTTTATTAATATTTATTATTTTCTTAAGTACAATAAAAAGTTATTAATTAATAATTAAACGATTTTATTATTTATTCTCATAATACGATTTCTTACATCAACGACAATCGCGGAATCGAAAAAGGAAGGTTGCCTGTAAAACTGATTTTTGCCTCAATGCGTTTATTGTTTTTTTTTTGAATATTTTGCTTGCGAAAATTACTTGGATATTATTTTTCTAAAAATATCGTGGAAATAAGGTAGGTTGAAAAAGAAACTATTTATCGCATGTACTGTATACAAGCTTCAAAAATAAATAAATAAAATAAATTTTATCAAATAATGAGATAAGATATTTTATACCTGTAAGGAAAATACTGTAGGTCTACTGTAAAATAAATTGCGTTTTCCCACAGTTAAATTTCGCCGCTAATTGCCGTTGCGATAAACCATTTTCACTTTCTCTAATAACTTTAACGCGATCTTCTAAGACAGCACTTCGCATTTCTTTCGTTTTTCGAACAATTTCGAACAAAATGAGATGATTTCCCTTTGTTGTTAGACTAATTTCAAGGATGGGAGAAGTGCTGAGGTGCGTTCGAACACGAGTTTAGACTAATTCATTATATTAGGAAGAGGAAACGTTGTTGAGATGGGTTCGAACAATATTTTAGATCAGACATATTCGTGGAAGTGGTTGCTTATTACAGTTGTTCTATGTTGTTTCCGACCAAAACTCGATGCCAGCGGTCGCGTTATACAGGTAGTCGTTTAATACAGGTAACTTATACGAAGACTCTATGTATAAAACTATCCCGTGCCAGAAATTTTTGCCCGTTTTGACAGGTTCCCGTCGAATGCAGGTGTTCGCCTAAGCAGTTTTTACTTATATATTTCTAGAAATTGGTTATAATTGAATTATCAAGTTAAATTTAAGTTACTCTAGTTTCTGCAATTAACGTTTGAAAATAAAGTTCAGACTATTATATTCGATTTGAAATTTCACAGTTTCAGTGTTATACTTCTGATAATTGTAAATTATCTTAAACTAAGACTTGCTATATTATGTTTTCTTCTTTTTATGTTAACAATTATTTCTGTACGGAAATAGTTAACGTAAAAAAGTCGAGAAATATTCTATATAATATAAAAGATTTATCTTAATTTTGTGTAAAAACAAAACTTGACTTGCACAAAATAAAAATTTAAAAGTTTCTTGACAATTCAAACTTAAATTTATCGACTATTTTTCTAATTTTATATATATTATATCATATATGATAAATTCATCATAATAATCTATTTAAAGATCGACCAGATATCAGATGAAATTCGATATAGCTATTTTTCAATACATGATTATGAGATCAAATCTAGTCAAGATCCAATACATTTCTATAAATAAATTTGACCAGATCTACTGGTTTCTATACTACATAACTTAAATGATTTATTTATAAGATCAAACTACCTATAACGGACTAAAAACTGACCTCCATGTAGGTCTATATTATCTCTTAGTTTCTGCTCTTTCAGCTTAGCTATATTATCAATTATTGATAAATCAAAAACCAATTTCTTTTGTTGTACAGTACGTTTATTATTTACTAGATGAATATTTTAAATAAAAAACAATTTTTAGTTACTTATAAATAACTAATTAAAATGAGCATTTAGAAAATGTATTAAGGCACAGTCAAAAAATAAGCAGAGCAATAATTTTTGAAAAGCAAATGATAAAATAATAATAATCACTTAAGGATTATATAAAAATACTTTTTATTTTGAATAAATAATTGTTTGTTTTTCTCGTTTTGAAATATGATTTTAAAGCTTGATAAAATCTATAAACTATATTCTACGGTATGAAATTTTATTGTTGCCATTGTCTATTTTCTTGAAAATAAATTTGATTTGTAGAGTTTTCCAAGCTTTCAAATCAAAATTTTAGAAAAACGAAAAAAGTATTAATGCCATATTATTTTTATTCTTTCAAGTATCTATTTTTCTGTTTAAATATAATACAGCTTTTAAAAAAGTATTTGATAATGGATATTTATTTGTACATGAAACATGTTAAAAGGAAAAAATAGAAACTGATAAATATGTTAAATCAAACTCAAAATGAAAATAAAAAGAATCTAAAATTTTATTATTGTAATTCAATATCTTAAATGAAAAACTGCAGTAAATCTTCCAAATTTTTACTTTTATTTATTTAATTTTTTTTGTAGTTGTTGAAAGTGAAATCGATGTAGATAGAAACTTTAATTTGTAAATCTCGATATCTGTAATCAATAAATTAATTTTCAGATATTATTTAAATATTTCACCAGGTCAAATCATCAGCTGACTAGATTTAAAAACTAAATTTTAATTATTACTTCAGAGAAATTTAAATGCAAATATGGATTTTATAATAATAGTATATATTCAGAAATATATTCGAAAATAAATAAAACTATATAAATTAATTAAAAATAAAAAATAATTTAAAAATTATGTCCGCGCGAATATCTAGAGTGGGTCAGATAAGGTG